AAATCAGATGTCTACAGTTATGGGGTTGTTCTCTTGGAATTGCTTACTGGCAGAGTTCCAGTCGATATTAAGAGACCTGCTGGGGAAGGAGTTCTGGTATCTTGGGTGGGAATCTTATCTTTCCTTTACTTTTAACTAGGGTGTAGTTACAGTAAAACAAATACTTGATCACATGATGATAAAGTGCTCGATCCTATTTATTTGAGATCAGATCTGTTTTGTACATGTATTTTAACTTTTTAACACATTCACCTGATCTGCTCGCATGCATGAAAGGCACTGCCACGGTTGACAGATAGAGAGAAGGTTGTGGAAATTATGGATCCGGCATTGGAGGGCCAGTATTCAATGAAAGAGGTTATTCAGGTGGCAGCAATTGCTGCAATGTGTGTGCAACCGGAGGCAGATTACAGACCGTTGATGGCAGATGTTGTGCAGTCACTTGTACCCCTGGTAAAAACGCAGCGATCAACTTCAAAGATAGGAAGCTACTCTAATATCCATGCAGACCGGCGTCACACGCCGGAAGACTTGGTAGAGAAAACATGAAGCTGGTTAAAAGCAATCATAATTAATGTTCTACAAGAACTTAGATTTGGTGTCCATTTAGGACATTTTGTTGTCTTTGGTTTGTCACGTTAGAGGAGCTAGATTAGCTTGGATCTGTGGTCGGCGGCATTGGAGATGCTGATTCTCTCGCTCTGAAAAACCGTGTTAAAACTGTTTTTCCAATATTTTGATCTCAGACCACCCTTGTGGTGTGATTTGGAATTTGCAGAGTTCAATTAGTGCCTAACTGTTCTTTCTCTGTCTCTTGTCTTTTGCCATCCTGATGTATGAAGATTTAGTGTAAAAAGCTAATCTGTAAATCATTTTTCCTTCTGTATAGCACGTTTTGCCTTGAAAGCTCTTCATTTCAGAAAATTTCCAGCAGTTGACTTTATAAAAGTAAAAGAACTACTCATGAAATTACTGTACATTTCCTCACAATCTACCCTATCTATTCATATAAATAGGGCAAATTAAATGCTAAAAATATTTTGCCCTTGCATGCTAAAAAATTCCTTTGAGTTTGAGGTTAGGGGTAAAATGGTTTTTCACCATGATTAATTTATTATTGTTACATTTACCCGGGAAAAGAGACCTTTTTATTATTTTGTTGCACAAAAAATAACTTGATTACCCTTTAAAGCAACGGTGATAAAACGTTTAGATGAGCCCCTGGTGTTATGCAGGCTATCTATTTTCGTTAGGATATTAAACTTGTACGGCTCGAGTCTTTTTTTTTTTTTTTACATATAATTAGCTGAAGTTTTAACTGGGTTGACTTTATTTGTTTTTGTAACTTTTTTCTTTACAAGTTCCTCTTATTTTTTTTTTAAATTGATTTTTTTTTTAAAAAATTTCACCTTATTATCTCCTGATGTATTCCCCATATTTTTCTTTTCTTAAAATTAAAAAAAAAACATGCAGGAAAAATTATTTAGTAGATAATCTAGTAATAATAAGAATTTAAAATTAAAAGATTTATTTTTTTGTTATTTTAAATTTGAACCCTATGATTACTAATCTAATAATCATAAAAGCTTATATAAATACAAATAAATTAGTCTCAACACCCTCATTAATTAAAAAAATAATAATCTGAACTTCTACCGAACTTAAGCATATACCTCCAGTTAGTAAGAGAGCCAAAGGAAGTCTTCTCTCTCTCTCCCTCTCTAATTCAAATGCCGACAATTATTACATTACATTACACTATTCTATATATTAAAACAGTATTTGCTGTGCAGTGTTTTTATTTTTATTCTATATATTAAAACAGTATTTTCTGTGCAGTGTTTTTATTTTTAATGTTTACAACACTTTTTCTGTCATAAAATTGCATTTTATTTGTATAATTTCATCTTGTATGTTATATTGACAACGTTTTATTTTTTGAGTTCTGCTTCAGTTTACATGCTCGCTCCCATATATATGAAGTGTGAAAATTTTTAACGTTTAATTAAAAACTAATTTTATGAAATTGAATTTAAAATTATAGTTAAATAAATGAAAAGAATAAGGACAAAACAAAACAAAAACTGTGCCCGCTATTCAAAACAATTGAAGTTTCAATTTATGCATGATTTCATCACTGAAGTTCTTGAATTTTACGTTTTGATTTTGAATTGTGTTTTTCTAAGTTTTAGTCCATCGATCATTGTTGAAACAAGATATAGAATCGCCAGAAATGGAACAAGAGAGAAAAGGATTGATCTTGTGGTTTTAATAGGTTTGCCTTGCATGCATGGAGGATCAGTTCAATGAAAATGCTTTAAATTCTTGGATCTTGTTAGAAAAAATAAATTGAAACTTAAAAAATTATTTTCGATCCGGTTTAATTGAATTTTTAAATCAATTGATGGTTTTTAGGGTTACAGATGGATTTAATAAGGTTTTTAGACTTTTATAGTGATATCAGGTCGGAATATAAAGTTTCAGAGTTTCTACGTCGACTTCCGAACACCTATAGCAGTTGAATTTTGAACCATCATACCACGCTTTGTTCATCTTGTTTAAAACAAATTATGGCCCCAGCCCCCAGCGCCCTTAGCCTCCTTGATCGTAATTTGGCTCCCCCTAGCCTCCCTGATCGTGAAGTAGATAATAACATTTTCATTCCATTAAGAACAATAAAAAAAGAAGAAGCGGTGATTATTAGGGCTGGACGACAAAATACCATGACGACCTGTTCAGCTGGTTGATTATTAGGTAAAACAGAATATCTGGGGATAATTATTATATAATCCATAATTGATAGCTAAAATTTATTTTCCAGTTTATATACTTCTATATATATATACATACATATACAGATCTTTTTCGCCATTCCTAAAAAAAAACTGAAAAATAACTCCTCTGGGTATCATCTCAAGCTACATTTTTAACTCGAGGAGGTGCTCGAGCAATGTAGTCTGGCATATGAAGCTGCTCTTTGTCGTTGCCCCGGCACCATTCTGAGGGTAAAATGCATGCAAAATGACTTCCAAAGACGGTGCTGCGCGCGGCATTTCTCGGGGAAAATGCAAGATCACTTCCAAATATGCTGCTGCATTGCATGATGATCTTGATATTCATCTGTGTCTGTCATGCAGTCATCTGGTTTTTATCTTAAGATTTTGAGTGAATAAAAAACGAGATGCATGAATATCATTTGCTACACACCATAAGAGTCCATGTAATGTAACAACATGCATGGAAGTATCCTATCGCATTTTAATCATCATCATGTTAGTGTATTGATGCCTTGAGCAGTTAGGGTGGGATCTGCATTTAGTTCTTGTTCTTGTTTCTGGCAAATGTCAAATATCTGCTTCGACCTTAACTAGCATTGGGGGAGAGGGTTTCCGTAGGCATTTTCTCCTTGATTATGTTTAATTACTTGCTTGTTTCTCTGCTCTAATTAATTCGCCTTTGAAATTTTCCCCGCTCCAACAAGATTTCCATCTCTTAAGACATGTTTATGTGTTCTGAAAAGTCTACAGGAATAAAAGCGGTGATGGCGTTCCATTTTCAAAGCCGCCATGTTCTGACCTTTTATCTTGTTGAGTAATTGATGAATAGACGGATGTATGTGAATATATACGCAGAGATCAACCAGGAATGTTATTTTGTTATTTTGCGAGAACACTGTGGGGCCGGAGGGAAGGGATCGTGTTTAGTTAGATGAAGTAATATAAATTATACTTTGGTGGTGTGAGCTGCAGATTGATATAATTTTTTAATATAATATTGGAGAATTAATAATTAAATAATTATAAATTTAAATTTTATTATATTTATTTATTTAATAATTAAAATATTTAAATCAAATGATTTTTTAATATAATATATCGAATTCAAATCTAATTATTTTTATTTATTTAAATTTCTATATTGAAATGATTATTTGATACGATATTAAAGAATTAATAATCAAGTAGTTACGGATTTAAATTTTATTATTTTTTATTTAATAAAAAATAAATTTAAAATATTCTTTACAAATTTAAATTTTAAATATATTAAAAAATTATATAAATTATATCATAAAACTATAATAGCCTCTTTAATTCTTTGGTCCGGCAACTGTTTTCGTAAAGAAAGAGGGGAAAAAACTTTATTTTGGAACTCCTTTCACTGTAGATAGAGTTTTAGTTGACTGCATAACAACAAAACGCGGTTAGGCAGAAAAGAGCAGGAAAGTCTCATTTGGTATCATAACCTAAACCTTTTCTCTTAGCATTCATGCACGACGTTTGATATTTTCTTCGAGGCATCGTGGGGAAGAAGTCAACCATTCGTTAAATGCACTTTACATCAAGGCCCAGGGGCGGCACCAGGGGAGGGGAAGAAGGGCCCGGCCCTGCAAAACATTTTAAAATTTTCTATTTTTTTAATGTTTTTTAATTTAAATAAATAAGTTTTTTAATAATATATATTATTATATTAATTTTGACCTCCCCTGTAAAATACACTTGGCTCCGCACCTGCATCAAGCAGTGATCAACGACCTTATATGTGAGCATACAGAGGATCTTTCGGTGGTTGACTTACGGATTGATTTTAAGCATATTTCTCCATGCAAAAAGTGCTAAAGCACGCGTTCGGGCAGCAAAGTTGGAACTCTAGATGACATTTTCACACCAGGCTTCAATTTTCCCAGGACGTGTGGGTGTATTTCTGCATGGATTTTTGTAATTTGTGCCGTGAGGAACAGGTGCTTCAAGAGTTATATTATCATCAATATCACTCAAATAATGGTGTTTATGAGAGAAGTCTACGATTCCATCTCATGGGTCCAGGCAAAAAACTCACATTTTCTACGAGTTGGTGTGTATGATGGTTACATGTGGGTTAATTAGGAATTAATGTCCTAAATTATAGAATATTGTATTTCTTTTTGCTTATGACTGTGTCTGTGTGTATATTTTTCTACCTTTTCACGCACTCTACTGCTGTCTATATAAGGAACTCTCCAGTCATCACATGCTCACACCCCATATTAGTAACATAAGCCTAGCTTGTTAGCTAATCTCAGTTATAAGTAAGCTCGATCTATTCGCTCGTCATGGGCTTGACTAAATTCTTTGTTGCACTCTGTGTTGTACCGCTCCTGGCATCCTCCTTTTGCAGCGCACAGCTTTCTGCCACCTTTTATGCTTCGACATGCCCTAATCTTCAAACCATAGTGCGTAATGCAATGACGGGGGCTGTCAATGGCCAGCCTCGGCTTGCCGCCTCCATCCTCCGCTTGTTCTTCCATGACTGCTTTGTGAATGTGTGACATCTCTCTTTTTAATATCTTTCTTCCCCACCTTAATTGTTTAGCTCTCTTGGTTTGAGATTAATTAATTAATTAATTCCCACCAATTAAGAGTAAAAATGGGATTAAATGTTCAATGAGCTGCTCTCTAGCTAGTCTTCGAGCTTGCTTTTATATATATATATATATATATATATATATATATATGTTAACTTTTTTATCATTAAATTAAATCATATTAAGAAATAAATAGTTTTCTCTAATTATTTCGTGTTGTTGTAGGGATGCGACGGATCTATACTACTAGATGACACTGCCACTTTCACGGGTGAAAAGAATGCGAATCCCAACAGAAATTCAGCTAGAGGTTTTGAAGTGATTGACACCATTAAAACTCGGGTAGAAGCGGCTTGCAATGCCACAGTTTCCTGCGCGGATATCCTTGCACTTGCAGCCCGAGATGGAGTTGTGCTGGTTAGTTTTTCTTGTCAAGTTTTCTCTCTTCTATCTAGCAATACTACTCCTTTTTCTCTTTTCTTTTCTTTTTTGGGGGTTTTGAGCTATCAAAGTTCATTTCTCAACACCGATTAATTAAAGAAAGTGAACTGTATACACAAATTCGTTATCGTTTGACTATATACACAAATGCATGCACGCAGCTAGGAGGACCATCATGGACAGTACCACTTGGCCGGAGAGATGCAAGAACAGCTAGCCAGAGTGCAGCCAACAGCCAAATCCCATCACCCGCGTCTAGCCTTGCGACCCTAATCTCCATGTTTTCTGCCAAAGGCTTGAGTGCTAGTGACATGACTGCGCTCTCTGGGGGTCACACAATTGGCTTTGCCAGATGCACCTCATTTCGTAACCGCATATACAATGACACCAACATTGATGCCAGCTTTGCCACTACTAGAAGGGCTAGTTGCCCTGCCTCTGGTGGTGATGCCAATTTAGCTCCACTCGATGGCACTCAAACCAGATTTGATAACAATTATTACACCAATCTTGTGGCCCGCCGTGGCTTGCTTCATTCAGACCAGGAGCTCTTTAACGGAGGTTCTCAAGATGCACTTGTCAGGACTTACAGCACAAACGGCGCTACCTTTGCTAGAGATTTTGCTGCTGCCATGGTGAAGATGGGGAATATCAGCCCCCTTACAGGGAGGAACGGAGAGATAAGAAGGAATTGCAGGGTGGTGAATTGATTCTATCTACGTTGTTTAATTTTGTTGAGATAATTGTGTTGTGTGTTCGAATAATTTGTTCGCATTATTGAAGTGAAGATCTCTAGCCATGTCCATGATCTTGAAATCCTCTCCCGGGCATGGTTCTGATCGTAAACCTCGAAAGCTTTTGTACTCAATCCATCAATGAAAATCAAGTGCTATGTTGTACTTTAGCATACGAGACCTAGTCAAATCCATGAGAAACCTTGAACGTAAGAGATTTTTCTTTTTGTTTTTTTTTTAAAAAAACATCATTTTAGTTTTTTAATTAAAAAAATGAGCCTTTTTATTACAAAAACAAAATAATGTTTTTCATACAATAAATTCATATCTTATACGTTCTCCGAGAGCTGCAAGACAGGAAAGCTATTAAAATAATATTTTTTTTTATTTTTTAAAAAATATTTTTAATATTTATATATTAAAATGATATAAAAATATTAATTTAAAATAAAAAATAAATACATAAAAGTTTTTAAAAAATAAAAAACAAATAAACCCTGTAAAAGCTCTCTAGTTATGAACTTGCAAGATACGATCACCTAAACTCAAACCGTTTATTATATGCAATCACGTGACACTTTAATTTAATAGTATTGTTTGATATTCTCATTTCTTTCTCGTTTTAGATATTAGGTCTAGGCTAGGGAACCTTCCCAGGTTAACAGCTTCTTGTCGTAATAAATGATGCCTTTGAAATCTTGCCTTCAAATTTTGAAAATCATGCTACCATATATGATTGATGAGTCTAACCACTCCTTGATTTTCCTTTTTTTGGTATTTATATATTTACAAAAGAGATAGAGAATGATAAGATATCTAGACTTTTTTTTCATGTTTTAAAATTATATAAATTAATTTTAAAATCATCTTAAAAATAAATTTATTTTATATTTTTAATTCTCTATTTAAAAATACTTTTAATTTTTTTTTATTTTTTTTATTATAAAATTCTAGTAAAATGCAAATTAAAAGATACTCATTAATGGAGTTCAAATAACCGTTTTAAAACAAAATTCTTGCTTTCGCTTCTATATGAAGATATGTGTCTTCCACCTTCCTCACCCTTTCTTGAGGTTTTTATATTGTGTCTCAAGCAATATTTTATAAAAAATTAATATTTTTTTATATAAAATATTTTTTAAAATTTTTTAATAACTGATATCAAAAATAATTTTTCTTCAAGGTGATGCCATTTTACTTCATAAAACATGCACACTACATAAAATATATAGGTTTGGGATGCTGTTGAGAACAGGCATCCAAATTTGGGGGGAAAATCAAGGTTTCCCCAAAAAGAAACTACGCAGCTATCCCAGATGAATTTAAGATGTCCTAATCTTTAATATTGTTATTATTAAAATAATTTTCATCTCAACCCTGTACTCTCGGTTTCTAAAGTATAATCACCACCAAGGCATTCGGTTTGGTAAAACTAAACTTGTAAATATGTAAATTTTCATAAATCAATGTAACAGATCATATGCAATTCAATGTTGCTTCGTTACAGACCTGATGTTGTCCACCATTGGTCTCCTCAACAGTTGTTGTGAGAACCTCATCGCAGTAAAACGATTAAGCCACCCCTGGAGCGACCGTTTTATTGTCCTCTCCCTGGTCACAAAATAGCATGGGGGAGAAAAACTAGGAATTTATTTGCTCTTCTGACTATGCAAGTATGACCTCTTCAATTGATGATTTGAGGTTTTGCTTCAGCGATTAGCCTATGCAGAGCTCGTGACCTCGTTGATAGCATTTGCCAGATATCCAACATTGCCAGTAGTAATGCCTGCCATGCTGCATATGCATCCGAATATTAGCAAACTTAAAGATCCGCATGCATGCACAACACGCATAAAGATCAGGCATATCCGGGTGTAGATGTTAAGTGTAAGATATTCATGAATGAGAGCAAACCTTATCCGACCATTGCGGGTCATATAGATATGAAATTCTTTTGTCAATCGGTCAACTTGTTCAGGCGTCATCCCACTATAGCAAAACATGCCAATCTGTTCGCAAGAAGCAGAATGATTGGTAGATTCCAGTAACAAATAGAACAAGATGAATATCAAAATGAATTACCAATATAAAGTTACGAAGAAATTGATAATTAAGTTAGAAATTCTGGCACACCTGATCAGTGATGTGCTTCCACGACAATGGTGAACCCAATTTCTCAAGGTTTTCTCTTAGTGCAGATCGCATTCCAATGATGCGATCAGCCATTACCTGATCAGAATATTGTTGGTCACAACAATCAGGTTCCTTTCTTATCAATAATATAAGAAAGAAGTAATGACAAAATTTAGGTGATCTTTAAAATGGAAGTGCGGGGCTGATAATTCTCTTCCAAGTGTGTTTAGGTTTTTAATCCTTTTCCTCCTTTCTGTTTTCGGGCTTTCAAGGCATTTCCTCTCAGATGCATATAAACAAATCAGTACAGATGGATGCTGCACTGCCAAAAGTCATCTCTTTGGCTGTCATGAAGAATCTTAGCATCAAGTTGCAGGTGACGCGTGAAGAAATAATCATTCAGCATTACATCGATGAAAGAATTGGTGCATTCTAAAATTTTTACTCCATGGCTGGATCGTTATCTTAATGCACAAGTAGATCTCAGATGCAGACATTTCCTCATGTGTATGCTATGTTAAAAAATACCACCATGCTATAATGGAATGAAACAAAATGGTGGGGGGAGAGGGGGGGGGGGGGGCGGGGTCCAGTGAAAATAAAATTACCTTCACTTCCTTGAGCCACAACTTCTTCAACTCTGGATCCCCAAGGATAGTTGACACAACAAGTGCACCATGAACAGGAGGATTGCTGTACATGGGTCTAGCAAGCTGCTGCAATTGACTCTTTACAGCCACCGCTTGTTTCTCATCTTCACAAAGCACACTGCAGGCAACATTTAACAGGATTAACCTTAAGATCATGTCCAGAATCCTGTTAGCTCCTGGAAACATGCAAAAGTCAGACAACTATACAGTTAATGTTATAAATTCCTCTGCTTTTGTGCAAAGACCCTCAGTTTTTATGTTATAATTTGTAATGTTCCATTATCATTTGATAAATTAGCCATGAGCTCTTGTTTACATGGGTAAAAGGTGCCTCCCTTCAGGCCTTTCTTGTTTTTTTTTTTTTTTTCATTACAAAGGGATCAAACTTGAGACCTCTTGGAAGGAGGGGGGGCATGGATGTCAGTTGAGCTACAAGCTCATTGGCTTTCAAACATCTACCTAAATATATCTTGAAAAAGAACCAGTTAATAGCCCCATCAAAACATTAAAAATATTTGTCCAAAAAAAGGAATAGAAGAGGAAAAACAGTTGCTGCAGCAGCACCTAATGCATGTATTCAGATGGTAGGAACACAATACCTGAGGCATCCTACTCTCTGGCCATAGAGTCCCATATTTTTTGCATATGATTGGGAAATACCAATATGATGACCGTCCTGGAGAAAAATCCTGATGGACTTTGCATCTCTGTCTGGATCACCACTAGCAAAGCCTTGATAAGCCATATCAAAGAAGGCAAAATGACCTTTAACCTGAAAATTACATGATGCTTGATGTCAAAAAAAGAGGGGGGAGGGGGGACAGGAGAGGAAAATCAATAAGCAAAAAGGCAAGAAAGTATTTACCTTGAATTGGTGTGAGATCTCTCTCCATTGTTCTTCTGATGGATCAACTCCTGTAGGATTATGAGCACAGGCATGAAGTAGAAAGAATGAGCCATTGGGAGCATTCTGCGAAGAGGATATGTGTGAATATTCATTTCATATAACAAAAAAAGAGGTGAATAGTAATGATCCTCATTACTATTCACCTATGTAATAAGCAGGGGACTGAAACAGAACATGTTAACAACGGGGAAGGAAAAATAACATGTTTAACATAGTCAAAAGATCAAAATCTGCCTCACATACCTTAATGTCATCCATCAGGGCAGAAAAATCTAAACCCTTAGATTCTGGATGATAGTAATGATAGGTCCTTTGAGGGACCTGAGCATCTCTCCAAATGTTATGATGGCTGTTTAAGTCTCATGTTAGAAGCCCGTAACTAAGCAATTAAAAAGGAAAAAAAAAAAAAAAGAGCTGGAAAACAATTTTTTAACATTATGGCTCATTCTAGTCCATTGCCATAATAATAACAACGTAAAGAACACTAACTTGGCCCATGTCGGGACCGGTATGTGGATCTGGGAATCAGGACGAAAGCGCTTCTGAAAGTCTGCGAAAAGTCTACAGGCACCGGTACCAGATAGAGATTGCACTGCTGCTATCCTTTTGTCTTTAATGAACTCAGAATTCTCTCCATATGCCAACTTCAGTGTTTCTTCCACCATTTTCACACTCCCTCCCATGGGAAGATACTCCCTATCCAACAAGAAGCAAAAATATATGATCAATGATCAGTCAAAATGATAAGAAAACTAAACAATGACCGACCTTTAATAGGACCTTAAAACTGTTTTGTTCTGTAAAAGAACACAACAAATTTTTAGACAGCAAAGGGGGAAAAAACTTTTAAAACAGAACTGCCAATGAAAGATGGAACCACAAACAAGCATGTTCTCCAACTTCTAATAATCATGGTGGACATCAACAACGAATTGCCAAATCTTGGAAGAATGCACTTCTATAGTTTTTTGGTTTATATTAGCCAGTATACCTGCACATTGCCACGATGCCCCTTTCACAAATCTTTTTATTTAATTATGCAAAAATCAAAATAAATATTCATAAGAAATCCAACAACTTTGATTCTGGAAAAAAAAATTCTTTAGTTAAAATTCTCATTTCTTATTCATGTATTTCTTTTTTATTGACCAATATATATCTTTTTTATCAACATCATAAATATTTGAAAAGTAAGTTCTGATAAAAAAAAGATGCTTTTATAATTTTAAGCAGCTAAATGATAAAGAAAAGAATAAATATTTTTTAAATTTTTTTAAAAAAATTATAATAAAAAATAGCAAAATAAATATTTTATTTTTATTGAATATTTTTGAGCAATTTCTTAAAATAAAAGAGTCTATTTTATGAGCTTAAAAGATCAATGTTGCTTAGTAGCCAAGAAAGAAGAAATTGAAATGTGATAATGCAAGAAATGCAGAGGCAGGAAGAAGCAGCAACACTTATTGTGCAACAGCATGAGATTTG